GAGACAGCCTATTAAGATGATTAAAAGAGAGAGTTTCTTTCTCTGCTAAAGCTATGAACTGTACCAATAAACACTGGGCTGCTGGGGGCCCTCAGTGTTGGGACTGGCCATGCTTAGAGATTGTTACTACATTCTCCCAGTGGCTGGTGATAAAGGTTTCTGACTTGTTCGCATTATGATTAGTACACTGAGGGCAGCTGAGAACTTTGTTCTAAATTCCCTTACTTGGGACCAAAGCTGATGAAGCAACCACTGATTTAAATGTTGCTGGAAGTAAAAAAGATGGAAAGGGTTTGTCCTGCGAATTAAATGTTATAATCCAGAAGTGACACATGTCAGAAGTTGCATGTCACTTCTACTTACAACTCATTGGCCAGAATTAGTCATATGACCCCACTCCATCATAAGGAGATTGGGAGACTTTATGTCTCCTGTGTTCCAGAAGGGAGAGTAATCAGAGATATCTGGAAAACATGGGAATGTATGTGTATGTGCATAAGTGTAGATAAGCATATATAGATACATATGTATTTTTACATTAATGTGTGTAAACACAGTCATGCATCACTTAACAATGGAACTATGTTCTGAGAAATGTGTTGTCAGGTGATTTTGTCATCATACAAACATCAGGGTGTACTTACACAAACCTAGATGGTATAGCTTACTACACACCTAGGCTGTGTGGCATACAGCCTATTGCTTTTAGGCTACAATCATGTACAGCCTGTTACTGTACTGAATTCTGTAGGTAATTATAATGCACATCTATATCTTTGGCTTTCAGTGATTGTAAGCTTCTTGAAAGAAAGGCTAAACAATTAATGTATCTGTGATTCCCAAAATATGAGAATTCCTTTCCTGAGACAAATATTGGCACCTGTGTTTGGGATAACATTTTACCCAACAAAACAAAGTCAATAATGAATACATATACACAAATATTACTGCTTGCGTGTTATATTTTGCAGGGAGGGGAAACATTTACACGAGTAAACAGGATATGAATGTCCCTTTGCCTAATCTATGTGTGAATCTCATACCATACTCTGCATAAAGTAAGCAAAAGTCTGTCAAGAATGCAGCTCCCATCTTCAGTAATGGCTATAAAAGTAATAGCATCCCTCTACTATATAACTTCTGTGTCCAGCGCTATGCTGGGTGCTTATATGCTTAATGCAAATCTGTCTTCCTGCAGTGAGTGAGTATGTTCATCCCCATTTTATAGGTGAATACACTGAGAGAGTTTACACAAGTTGCCCGCAGCTGGTGAGGGTCTGGATCAGGATCCAGGTACTTCCTTTATGCCACAGTCATCTCTCTGCATCTCCAATGTCTTCATTCCCTAGCTCCAAAATCAGCTTCTCAGTATTCCGATCTCAGGAGCGAGTTTCTGGGCCTTTCAGCTTCCACAGTAGGAGGTGAGCTTCTGGCGAGGAAATTGCGGGGGAAGAGAGAATGGCTGTTAGGAAGGCAGCCAGCAGCGGCTGCCTCCCCACAGCACGTGGGACAGGGCTGAAGAAACTGGAAGTGTTTACTGCAGGGGAGAATAATGAGAGGGTATGATTGCTGTCTTCAAACATCCTAAATCTTTTGTATGAGTGTCTCTAGAAGGTAAGCCCAGTACAATGGGTGGAGATTTCAGTAAGAATCTTCTGATAGTCCAGCAGTCAAGAGAATGGGCTGAACAGAGGGAAGGTCACTAAAGGTGTTGAGACGCAGATTGGAAGGTGGCAGGGCATGGGGAAGGAGATGCACACTGGAGTCACACAGTCCTGGGTTGATCCAGCCCTGTCACATATGAGCTCTGTGACACAGGACAGGTTATGTAAACTCTGAGTCTCTCTTTCCTCATTATAAATTGAGCCCAATAATACCTATCCTGCAGGCTCATTATGAGAATTAGAAGTAATACATGCAGAGGACTGCTATAAAGCAGTGCAAACAAGAATACCATAATAATTGCCTTCGATAGGACATCTCCCTTAGCACAGATCTTTGAGATTCAAGAATCAAATGAGAAAGGTGGAGCGCTGAGTGATATGACACGCAGAGATCTCACTGGGGTACAAAGGTATTTATAAGGCATAACATCCCAAAATGTGGGCAATTGTTTTTTTCGGGATTTCACAACACTTTGAGAGCAGCACTGATTGGCGTGAGGCAGCAGCCTTGTAACAGGAATTTTTTTCTTTGTGCCTGCTAGTGGAGGGGTGGGGAATTTCCCATATTATGTGTACTTCATCTCCAATAAGGGATCAGGTTACTCTCTTTGACTTAACCACAGCAAGCCCATCATCGACCCTCTGTCTCTGTAAAATTCTCACCACTGAGTTTACAGTTGATTGATTGTTCCTTCCACATACTATAATTGTTTCATTAAAGGCTTCAGAAGGTTCATTGTGTTGGCAACTTCCTGTAAAACTGTCTACACAATCAGGGCCAGATACGTGCCACTGAGTCATCAGGGATGGAAGTATTTATTTGTGTATGCACGTGTGTGTGTGTGTGTGTGTGTGTGTGTGTGTGTGTCTTGTCTTTTCTTTTTTCTTTTCTTTTCTTTTCTTTTTTGAGTTAGAGTCTTGCTCTGTGGCCCAGGCTGGAGGGCAGTGGCACGATCTTGGCTCACTGCAGCCTCCGTCTCCTAGGTTCAAGTCATTCTTCTGTCTCAGCCTCCTGAGTAGCTGAGACTATAGGTGCATGCTACTATGCCTGGCTAATTATTTTGTATTTTTAGTAGGGTGGGATTTTACCATGCTGGCCAGCTGGTCTCAAACTCCTGACCTCATGATCTGCCTGCCTCAGCCTCCCAAAGTGCTAGGATTACAGGTATGAGCCACTCTGCCCAGCTGTCTGTCTGTTTTCAAAAGGCAGACTATTAAGCAGGGTTTATTCCATGGCTGGGGGGCAGCATGGGGGCACACAGGACCTGTGTCTGAGTGACCTCAGCCACTCCAGGGAGGGCATTAGTTGCCATCCATTTATTAACAGCTCTCCAGTTTCTAGCTCCAGCCCAGTATCTCTTCCCTGATCTTCAGAATGAGATAGCAAAATACCTCAAGGAAGGCCCCCACTTGGATGTTCCCACAAGCATCTCCAACTCAGCATCCCTAATTCTGAGCTCGTGATCCCCACTACACCCTCACTCCCCTGAAACCAGTGATCTCTCCCGTTCCCCATCTCAGTAAATGGCATCACCATCCAGCAGTTGCACAGACAGATTTCTGCTCATTGTCTATTTGTTCTCCCTCACACTCTACACCCAATCAGCAAGCCCTATGAATTCTTCCTTCCACACCTTTTTCTACAGGTCCACTCCCTCATTCCCACAGTCACTTCCTTAGCTTAAGCTGCCACTATTTCTTCCATGGGCTACAGCAACAGCTTCTTCCATTTGAGCTCCCTCCAGGCTCAAAAAGATGGCCAGTGCTGGGTGTGGTGGTGCATATCTGTAATCCCAGCTACTCAGGAGGCTAGGCTGGAGGATCACTTGAGCCCAGGAGTTCGAGGCCAGCCTGGGCAACATAGCAGGACCCCATTTATAAAATAAAAAAATAAAACCTAAAATCTGTAATGTCACTTGCATATTTAAAACCCCTTAAAAACCCTTGTTATGCTGCAACAGGCTTTTTCCTTAGCATCTTGTGTTCCTTCCTTTTATTAAAAAAAAAAAAAAAAAATCTGTGCTGGTGTGCAGTGTCAAAATCATAGCTCACAGCAGCCTCAACCTCGGGGTTCAAGTGATCCTTCCACCTTAGCCCCTGGGATAGCTGGGACCACAGCTGCATCCCATCATACCCAGCTCATTGTTTTAGTTTTTGTAGAATTAGGGGTCTCACTGTGTTGCCAAGGCTGGTCTCAAACTCCTGAGCTCATGTAATCCCCTCATCTCAGTTTCGCAAAGTGCTTTCCCACTGTGCCCAGCCCCTTTCTTTAAAAAAATAAAATAAAATCCTTATTTCTCATAACACTTTTTCCCTGACATCAAGGGTTGTGTCTTTCTTATTCACCTCTGTATATTCCCATGATTAGCAGCTGTTAACCACAGAGAACAGCTCAGGAACCATCCATAGCCATGAAAGAACAAAGAGGAGGTTTTCTTGTTAGCTGACATTTCTCCCTGCAGTCTAAAATGTCTTCAGGGATGGAGAATGGAGCACTTCAAATATCAAATAGGTAGAACTTAACGAACAAGCCTACCCAGAGTATGGGATGCAAGCCTTTCACAAATGTGCTTCTCCAGCCTCAGCTCTACCAAATCCCACCCTTTCTCTCACCTCCATTACTGCCGTCTGTGCTGCAAGTGGCCAGAACTGTCCTCTCCAGTCCCCAAACACCCCATTGCTTTTGCCCATGAGTTCTGCCTTTTCCTTCCTTCTCCACCCGGGGAAATTCTGTTCATCCGCAGCAACCACTTCTTTGACTTACCCAGGTAAAGACAGTTGCTCCTACCTTGCATTAGTCTGTTCAGGATGCCATAAACAAAACACCATGAACTGGGTGGTGTAAACAACAGACACTCGTTTCTCACAATTCTGGGAGGCTAGAGGTCCAAAATTAGGGTGCCAGCATGGTCACGTTCCAGTGAGGGCTCTCTTCCTGGGCTGCAGGTGGCTGCCTCCTCTCTGTGTCCCCACATGGTGGTCAGAGAGAGAGAAAGCTCTCTGGTCTCTCTTTATAAGGGCATGCATCTATGAGGACTCTACCCTCACTATCTCATTTAAATCTAATCAACCTCCAAAGGCCTCACCTGCAAATAACATCATATTAGGAGTTAGGGCTCCAATATATGAATTTTCAGAAGGCTACAAACATTCCTCACTCCATAAATCCCTTTATCCTACCTTCATACTTTACTATGTATAATCATTATGATGACTACAGATATTAAGCCTTTACTATGTGCTTCATATTTTTTATTTCATTCAATTCTCTTATCCTAAGAGGGTAGGTAATTGATACGGTTTGAATATTTGTTCCCTCCAAATCTCGGGTTAAAATGTGATCCTCAGTGTTGGAGGTAGGACTGAGTAGGAGGTGTCTGGGTCACCAGGGCAGATCGCTCACGAATGGCTTGGTGCTCTCCTGGTGGTAACAGGTAATGAGTGAGTTCTTGCTCTATTCGTTTATGTAAAATCTTATTGTTAAGAAGAGTCTGGCACCCCCTCCCCTCTCTTGCTCCTCTCTTGCCACGTGACAGACCTGCTCCCCCTTCGCCTTCTGCTATGATTGAAAGTTTCCTGAGGCCCTCACCAGAAGGACATACCGGCACTATACATCTTGTATAGCCTTCAGAACCATGAGCCAAATAAACCTCTTTATAAATGGTCCAGCCTGGGGTATTCCTTTATAGCACCATTAAATGGAGTAATAATACAGTACTTTTGTCCCTATCTCAGAAATGAGGAAAAGTCACAGAGTAGACGTTTGCCCAAAGCCTTACAACCGCCAAGTGGTGGCCCTACCCAAACCTGGAATCAGGGGCTCCTGACCCCAAAACCAAAGTCTAACCACTCTCTCGTATTGCCTAGAGCAGGAGTTGGTGAATGTTTTCTGTAAAGGGCCAAATAGTAAATATTTTAGGCTTTGCAGGCCATATGCTCCCTATCATAACTACTCAACTCTGCCATTATAGCACAAAAGCAGCCATAGAAAATATATAAATGAATGAGCATGGCCTTGTTCCAATAAAACTTTATTTATGGACTCTGAAATTTGAATTTCATATAGTTTTCATGTGTCACAAAATAGTCTTCTTTTGATTTTTTTCCCAACCATTTAAAAATGTAAAAACCAATCTTAGCTCACAGGCTGTACAAAAACACATAGCATGCTGATCCCTGGCCTAAACAGCTACAATGAACTTAGAATAGTAATTAGTTTTTAAACATATCTCTCTTCTCCAATTCCCCCTGACCTTCTTAAGCAGGAAGCTGCAGTTCTTATTCTGTTTCTCCAACAACCCACTTCACATTTCCCTCTTCGGGGTCTATTCATACAGTACAGGGCTGCCTCCTTACCACCTTCATGTCCTTGTCCTTCTCAGCAAGGTTGGCCCTGGCCACACTATCTAAAACTGTCACAGCCTCCTCTGCAGTTCATGCCCTTTATCTTGTTTTATCTTTCTCCTTTGTACTTCTGAAGCACATAATTTTATAATCAAGCACATAGCTTTTCCATTTATCTTATTTAGTGTCCCCAGTAGAATGTTAGTTACATGTAGGCAAGTACTCCCCTTTCGTACACTGCTGTAAACCCAGAATCTAGAAGGGCATGTAACACATAGAAAAAGCACAATATTTTCTTAATGAATCCATTCAGTCATCTAAGTCATTCTAAAGATCCAGCACAGAGTATATTCTCAAAATGAAAAGCGTAAGCTGGGCGGGATGGCTCATTGCCAGTAATCCCAGGACTTTGAGAGGCCAAAGTGGGCAGATCACTTGAAGTCAGGAGTTCCAGACCAGCCTGGCCAACATGGCGAAACCCCATCTCGACTAAAGATACAAAAATTAGCCAGGTATGGTGGCAGGCACCTGTAATCTCAGCTACTTGGGAGGCTGAGGTAGAAGAATCACTTGAACCCAGGAGGAGGAGGTTGCAGTGAGCTGTCATGCCTCTGCACTCCAGTCTGGGTGACAGAGCGAGACTCCATCTCAAAAAACAAAAACAAAATAATCAAAAGCTTAAATGAACAGCTATATAAGGTATGGATCATGTTTTCTTCCACGATCATACACTTTTGGGTTTGTAGAAAATCTCTTGTTTTCTATGGAGTAAGTAGAGGGCAGAAATGGGCCCTTGCTTTGTCTCTCTGGCCTCCCTGTTAGGTGCTGATCTGCACTGAGGTTTCTTGGAGATATGAACTCTTGACACTGCTCCTTCTGGAATGCTGGGCTGGAGTATCTCAGGGAGGAGGCAGGACGTGACTAGGGCAAGGGGATCAGCCTCAGACGGGAGCAGCAGATGGAGCCAGGGACATCTTGGTGAGGAAGGCCTGGAATCCTGGCAGAAAAGGAAAAAGGTGCATGCCAGGGTTCCCGGGCAGGCTGGCAGAGTAGAACGGGCTTCTTGTTAAGTTAATTGAGGTAATTTTTGCTGCCACCTTTTGGATAGTAACAAAATTCTCTTTCTACCAGCCACTGATCATATCTCTGCCTCCTGCCACATTTCATTGTACAGACAGTGCACTAAATTTAGCTACATTTATTTAGCTGTTCCTTAAAACTTTGTCACTTAAAAAATAATTATAGGATTTCTCTGACAGACTGCAATACACAGAGTGCACCAAATTACAGGTATAATTTGGAGATCCAACTGGGATCACCAAATAAAATTGATAGCAGCGGCCTAATTCCAGAATAATCCATGCGAAACTGGAGAGGATTTGTTCCTTAGACCCCTCTCCATAATCTGTGTATTGAGCCAAAAGTTCAAAGAAACCAAAGCAAAATAAAGGAAGAGGCCTTTAGGCCAAGGTCTGGACCCCAGGGAAGTCCAGCCTTCCTTCTGCTTGGCAGAGCTGGTCAGACCACCGGGCCCCAGATATGCTCTCCCCAAGTGCAAAGAAAGTTAACCTCCATCCTTCCACCCAGCCAAGAGCCTGCCTAGGTGAGCTCTAGGAGAGAAGGGCTTCATTAATTTTAACATTTTTCTTTTGCTTTTTCTGTGATTGTAAACTATAGAAATCAAAGTTTGGCTCCCAAGGAAAAATTGATGCTCAGGAGGAAAACAGCAGGTCCTTCTGGGAAGTGAAGATGCCACTCAGCAGAGCCTAAGTGGACATAAAGCCACAGAGTGATGGATAATTCTGTTACCAATTTATTTCACAAACCATGCTGAGGTCCTGCTGAGCTGCTGCTTTTGTACAGACCCTAGGGACACACAAGCCAATCAGAAAAGTAAGGGAGACCTATTCAGCCTAAAACCTTCTGCAGATGCTACAGAAGGGCCCTAAAGGGGCAGAGAGAGCCAGGCTTGGTGTCATGCTTGGGGGAGCAGCTGGGCACAGACACCAGGAACTGGCAAAAAGGATGGCACCACCCTGCTGGTGATTTTTGATGTCTGTGGAATTCCCCCTTTCCGAATCAACTCTGTTCTTCATCATGGCTTTCAGGTAGGAATAAAGAGCTCTCCAGCAGGGGATGTTTCCCTGGAGTGCTGGGTGGAGTCTAGAGGATCCCTTCAGAAGTTAGCATTTCAGAGGTTGAGTCTGGAACAACTGGTGGCTAAGAGCACTGTCAGCATTAATACAGCGAGACAGTCCAGTTGGAAGGAATCTTTCCAATTTTCTGTTCCAAGATCTGTATTGTTAGCATGGCTAACTCAAGCCCCAGAGCAGTTAAGTGGCTTGTCACGGACCATAGAGCAAGGCTGGGGCCAAGTCTTGAAAAGAAACCAGCTCTCCTGTCTCTCAGTCCAGGGCTACCATATTTAAAGCAACTTCTGGCTAGTAGAAAGAGCACTAGCTGTGGAGCCAGATGATTTTGAATTTGAATCCAGGCCCTGGCACACACCAATCCTGAGGCCTAAGTCAGTCTTTCAAAGCTACTATTTCCTCATCTGTAAAATGGAGACAGCCATTTCCTGCTGGGCCTCCTGTATTGTGTGGTTAAAAAGATCAAATGATCCAGCTTGGGTGAAAGCGCTTTGTAAGTTGTAAGGTGCTGAATGAATACTGCTCATTGTCATATTGCCATCTGTAGCAGAGATCCCAAAGGAGCCCAACTTTCCAACTGCAGCCCTAAACAAAACAGAAAGAACAGTGTCCCCAGAGCAGCTAGAAGGCAGAAAGCTGGCCTCAGCACCACTCCCCTGTCCATCCTTCCTTCTGTCTACTTCCCACTGGGCCTGAGAAGAGTGGGCTATCAATCTTCCCATGTTGCACGGTAGCTCTCAGTCTCTGACTGTGCAATAGCCATGAGGAAAATCCAGGGCATTGGGCTAGTTCTTTCCTGCTGGTGTGAACATCTCAATTCTCAGCCTTTTCCTTGTTTCCCAAGGCCTTTAGGTACGTAGAGGACCCTGTCCTTGGGTCACCTATCTCCCATGGAACCAGAGGCTACTCTGTAGTCTAGAAGGGGTAACAGCAATTTTTTAAGACCCCAGACTGGGATGGTTAATAGTTGGCAGCTGGCCCCATCCTCTTCACTGCTTCTGCAAAGCCTGTGACCAGAACTAGCCATCCAGATTTCTGTGGCTCACCTGCAGGACCCTCAGGGTCACAGTCCCTGCTAGGAGCTGGGGAGGCAGAGGGCCGACTTGAGCTGCCACTGCAGATAGTCTTCCTAACTAGTGACCATCTCTGAGGGTAACCTCTGCACTAATGCACAACATTAGTATTCACTGAGCACCTGCTGTATGTCAGGGACTTTCCCATGCATTATTGATTTGGTCTTCTAATATCTGCTGAGTAAGAAACAACTGCTTCTGTTATACAAATGAGGAAATGAGAGTCCAGAAAGGTTGTAAAATTAGCCCAAGGTCACGCAGCTAACAACAATATTAATAAAGCAATAATGAGTGCTTTCAGTTGTAGATTTTTTCACCAACACCTACAATAACCCAGAGAGGGCTAGTACTCTCCTTGTCTTGTAGATGAGAAGGCTGGGTATGGAAGAAGCGAATGATTTGCCCACTCACATAGATAGCAAATTACCATTGGTCTGTAGTCAAATCTATGCCCCACTTATGTGGTTTCCAACTCACATGGGCTGGTGCTAGATTTAGATGCAACGTTTCTGCTGCTAACCCCAGTGTTTATGCCCTAATCCCAGGTATTTGGAATTCTCACAGCAGAATCATCGAGGCAGCCTTTTCCAAGGGTCAGTTCTCAGATTCCGCCTCTGAAGACTCTGGTTCAGATCTGGTAAGGGCCTGTGTGGATGTGTTTATAACACACTCCACAGGCACCTGCAGAGCTTGAAAAGCACGAGGTTCTATTGCAGCTTCTCTGACTGCCAAGGTTTTTAATGGCAAACCCTGCCTCATCAGTATCCATCTTCCATCCTCAACTTATGTCGTCACCACAACTGGCTCTCTCCTTGCCTCCATCGCTGACAACCTGCCTTCGCTGTAAATCCAGGAGCCACTTACAGATGCTTACCTCAATTGGTTTCTCAGTGGCCACCAACGCCTGTGACTGCTCCTTATTCATGATTCTCCATAATATCCCTTTTCTCCTGGTTCTCCTTCCATACCACTCTGGCCTCTTCTTTTAATTAAGTCTCCTAACTGACTTCTGTGCCTCATTCTATCTCTTTAATTTTGCTCTCCCCAGGACTTTGTGTTCAACCACCTTCTTTTGGCATTTTCCTTGCCCTGAGTGACCTCATTCACCCCATGGCTTCAACTGCTCCCTCTGCATGGATAATACACATCACCTACCCAGGGCTCCCGAGATCCCTGAGCCTCTTGATAGCATTCACCCCGGCTACTTCACAAGGCACCTCAAATGCAGCATGTCTGTAATGGATCAGAGTCTTCACTGGCTACTCCTGGTGTCCCATCTCTGTGAAGGACCACTCATGAGTCACTGAAGGCAGAGAGCTGGTGGTTTATGTGGGGGATGCTTCCTCAACCCCTCCTGCATCAGGTTATTACCAAATGCCAGATATTCTAGCTTCCGACTTCCCCAGGAGCACCCCCAGGTCCCCATCTACATGGCCTCTGTCCCAGTTCTTTCTCTTCAGGGCCCTGATGGATCCCTTTAGTGTCTTTCTGACCAGGTTCCTATCCACCCAAGGTGCTTTCCTCCCAGCAGCCATGCCACATGCCTACTGAAAACCGTGAAGTATTTCCCTATTGCTTCAGGGTAAAATCCCAGCCTTTTATCTCCTGCCCAAAGCACTTCCTGAGGGGGCGAGACGATCCTTTCCAGCCACATCCCCTACAACTCCCCATCAAACAGTTCTATCTGTGCTCCAGGCACTTAGACCTGCACACAGTTCTGGGAAAGCTTCAGTGTCTTTTGATATCTGCACATGCTGTTCTCTCTGGCAGGAAGAGACTTTGCTGACTTCTGCACTTAACACTGTCTCCTTTTCCACTGTTCATCCTTCAAGTCTCCCTCAGGAGCCACCTCCTCCAGAAGCCCTTCCTGACCACTGGATTAGGGCAGGTACCCCTCCCTTGCCTGCCATAGCAGCCTGTGACTCCTCTTTCCCAGAGTTTACCACCAACCCTGAACCATCATTGCCTCTCCCGGTGGAACACCAGCAACTTCCCATTTTGTTCATCTCCATCTGTCCAGAGCACAAGTCAGTATCAGTGGCACTTAATAAATGTCTGTGGACTAATAATGATGAAAATAATAACATGTGCCAAACATTTACTGAGGACTTACACTGCCAGGCACCATACTAATTATGGGCATTGTATCACTTAACCCATGTAACAGCCCTATAAGGAAACTCTAATTCTCATTCCCATTTTATAAATGAGGAAACCAAGGCAGGGGGATGTTAATTTACCTAAGGTGACACGTTTCGTAAGTGATGAGTGGGGACCAGAGCCCAATCAAATTAATGAACGAAGGAGAAAATTGTGACTCTGGCTCGACCCTCCGCTCAAAATTGAGATAGAACCACTTTTCAGTAGTAATATTTAACCGTGTCATCCTGAGTAAAAGTCACTGGGAAATCAACTCTGAATTCACTGTGGGAAAGAGAAGACCTTTCGCTTTTTAAAACTAACCAACCGTCCTGCAACCCTGAGAACCTGAAGTAAGCATTCCTAAGAAATTCCTAAGAAAAACATGTGTGAGGTTTTCCTCCTGAGTCTCCCATCCCCTGACTCCTCCCTCTCCCCTCCTGCACTGTCCACTGAATAATTTCCTGTTCCACCTTGCTTCCCCGGCAGCCAGAGGGGCCATCAGCAGAGAACCACAAACTCCATCTCTTCAATTACCCCCAATTCCCAGCTGTGCCGGGAACACACGAGGGCAGAAAAATGGCTTGAAATCTGTATGCGGGAGAGGTTGGAAGGTTGAAGAGAGCAATTTTTGTTTCACATCATTCCTTTGTATAATGTCGTATCCTTCTGACAAGTCCCCATAATACATCTTAACTTCACCAATTGCTGCCTTAAGAGAAAACAGTGAAGACCTATCTTTAATGTCAAAGGAACAATGGGCGTCCTTCCAGAGGAGGAAAATGACTTGCTTTGAAAGAGTTGGAGAAGAAAAGTGCAAAATGTTCCAGTTTTAATGTGAGGGGGGGAGAAAGTCAGCAGCTGTGTGTTGGCACATCCGCTCCCCGGCTGCACGACTAGGGCGGCCCCGCCAGCCCCATCTGTCTGTCGGACCCACCAGCTGAGGAGGGAGTCTTGGCTTGGGTGGGGGCAGATAGCGGGTGTTTATTCCTAGGAAAAGTCGGTCCAGCTCCTCTCAGCCCAGGTGTGCCTGTGGGTGTGGCTACCTGGATGTAGAGATGCTACAGTTCCTGCTCATTGAAATCTGCTTTCCCTTCAAAGACAGTGGGGACCAAGTGGAATGCCTGGGAACTTCAGCGACTGGGTCTCCTTCTTCCTCCAGAGCATTCTGTCTGCACCTGAATTTCTCCCTATGTGGCCATTCTCCACTAGGCAATGAGATACAGATGGATTCTAGCCAACCTTGGCACAAAGGCTCCGTGGACTAAAGACTATTTAAGTCCACCTCATTAGACTTCTCCCTGTAGGTTGGGAACTTCTTCAGCTACCTTTCCAGTTTCAGAGTCAGCACTGCCACATCAAGCTTCTTGCAATTTTCTGACAGTGCAATTTCATGTGTTCCTGTTCTGTGCCCGGGTGCCTTTGCACATGCTCTTCCCTTTGTCTGAAATTCCCTGGGAAGTCCTGTTCATCCTTTAAAACTCAGCTCAAATATTTTCTCCTTCTGGAAGCCAATGTGACCTTTTAAGTGAGTTTATCACCCTCCTCCTTTGGTGCCAGGCCACTTCTGCTATAGCAGACATTACACTGAATGAAATTTATTGATTTACATGATGCCTCTATTAGGTGATTGTTTTGGGGACAGAGATTAATATAGATACAGATATATGCCCACACCATGTATAGATACAGATATATGTCCACATAGTAAGTGCACAATAAATCATTTTTTGGATGAGAGGATCTAAACCTGAGGTTCTTAAACCCGGCTAAAAATTACATTCACCTGGGAGATTATATGTACTATATCTCAGTAACAGGCTCCTACCCTAAACCAAATTAGTCAATCTCTGGAGCTCTATGTAACTTGCATTTGAATCACCTGGAGGGCTCATTAAACCCAAATGGCTGAGCTTCACCTGCAGAGTCTCTAATTCACTTGGTCTGAAGTGGACCCTAGAATTTGCATTTCTAACAAGTTCAGAGGTGCTGTGGATGCTGGGGGGATCTGAGGACCACACTCTGAGAATCACTGTCTAGGCCCAGGACTTTCCTATGTATCCATTCAATCAGCTTGCACCAGCTGAGACCCTCATGCATATCCTGAAGTGGGCTAAGTGCTGTGAATGTGAGACAGGATTCCCTGTTGCCCTAAAAGGGCTTCAACGCACTTTCCCAAATTTCAATGTGCATAAAAATCACCTGTTGGTCTGAGGTTGTCCTGAGATTCTGCATTTCTAATGAGCTCCTAGGTCATGCCTACATTCTAGAGCTGGGGCTTGCAGACTTTTTCTGTAAGGAGCAAAATATTAAATGTTGTCAACTTTATTGGCCATAGAATCTCTGTGGCAATTATTCAACTGCATTATAACCTGAAAGCAACCGCAGAGAATACATAAATGAATGGGCATTTTAGAACTTTATTTACAAAAACATGTGGGAAAGGCAGGATTTGTCTCATGGGTCATAATTTGCTGACTCTGCTTCTAGAGACTTGAAAGAGCAAAAAATATTGCATTGGCCAAGACAAAGTGAGGTGCAGGTGGCTGGAGAGGAGGGAAGGAATGAGTTGGGTTTGAAGTTAAAAAGTGGTTTAAACTCTGTGTAGAGGAAGGAGAGGAGGGAGGACATTGTAGGCAAGGGCACACACTGAACAGGCACAGAAGGGACATTGGGAGCCTTCCTGGTAAGACCAGAATGTGGGTAATTAGGCTGTATTAGGCTCAAAGTGATCCACTTGACTCTCTCCCCTTACGCATTCCCTGCACCAAATTAATAGACATTTATCAGAACAGCCCATTTCAGGAAGTAATAGATCAGGAGTCAAGCAGCAGGTAAGGGTGTTGGGGAGAGGGGTCCCTGAATCTTTTATTTCTTTTGCCATTGTTGAGTTCCAGGGTCTAATAGTATAGGCAGCATCAATGAAGAGTCCTGAGACTTTGGACTCACTATTATGTGTTCAGCATTGTTCTAGTGCCTTCGAATGTTACATTTAATACTACCAATTCTGTGCAGTATGTACTCTTAGCCCCATATTAGAGGGGCCAAGGTGATAATCTTTATCCAACCCACATCTACCACAGAAATGATTCTTTAAGGAAAAAATGTATTCAGTTACCAGAAGAAAAATACAGTATTCATTCAGACAACTCCATTGCCCAACATATGTACATACAGTTTCCAAAATTCCCCCACCTAACATGATACAAATATTCCATCTAAAACTGAAAACACACTCATACATTTCTAAAGGGAAGTCCATATAAATAATAAAAATAACTAACACTTATTAAGCTCTTAATTTATGCCAGTTGCTACAATTGCTTTACATGTATTGACTTATTTCATCCTCACAAAATTATTTTAAAAAAAAGATAGTACTGTTTTATTCCAGGTTTACATATGAAGAAACAGAGGCACAGTGGAGTGTTACTAGTTGCTCAGTTATGCAAGTTAAGTAGTGGACTTGGGATACCAACACAAGCAATCTGATTCCAGAGCCAGTGCTCATAGTATCTATACAATCTTCACTAGTTGACTGCATTTCTCTTCAAAGACAGGATTTCTGCAATGAAAATCTTATTTTGCTGTGGATAAAGTTTCTTGTGTCTAGAAACTCATGGTAAATGACAAATTCACTCACTCCTCCCCAAAATACATGATACACAGTGAGAAAGAAAAAGATAACTACAACTAAAAACTCCCTCTTGAACAAAGGAGAAAAAATATATTGTAATCATTAGTGTATAGCATCTACCATGGGGATAAGAGCATGGAGGGTAGGAATGACCAGGGCATCTCTGCCCTGTGATGAAAGGTATTCCTTGGTCAACCCATCTGTCTTCCCTTCAGGGAAATTCCTTGTCTATTGCTCCTGTAGCCATAACTAAGCGGGACAACAAGAGGCTTCCCTTCCCATGGCTACTTGCTTTCTCTTCGTGAGTTCATGAGCCTGGGACTGCCCCAATTATTGATCACTGTGTTGCAGATTATCATTTGTCAGGTTTTGTGTTTTTCAGGCATTACAGCTTTCTTAAATAACACTTGATTTGCATTTGGTCAAATCCAAAGTCAGAAAGATGGGTCCTTGAATCTCAACCACCATCTGGAAGCTTCTGTCCCTTGGCAGCAGGCCTTCTTCTTCCATCTACTATGCTAATGATGCACTGAGGCAGGGAGGCAAGACTGAAATTCCTTTTGCTTCCCATTGCATCCCAGAGAATGACTTTTTATGCTACAAAAGAAAGATGATGTTTGGAAGGGTTGGATATCATGCTGCCTCCAGGTTCTAATCTCCTCCCTTTGTGTTTAGCCTCCCTTCACTTCATTTATGTTAAGTTTATCCTGGGATAGAGAATTTAGCTTTTCCAACTCACAGTACTCCTCTCTGCCATTCTGGACTGCTGACTGATACAGGGTGGGCTTCTCTGAGAGAGGCTCTCTTTTCTTCCCATTAAGCTTGCTTCTTCCTTATAGGACATTACTGAACGCCATAAGAAATGGACCGTTCTTTCCAATATAATTATATTTTCTATCTCTAGAACATGGTTTGAGCCTTAAGATATTACATAAGACAGTTCAACCCAGCTGACTTCCCAGCCAAGAACAGACTTGCTGTTCTGCAACCTATTGTGATTCAGCCAGTTCTACATTTTAGGATGTCACTTATAAAACCCCACTTCCAAGAGCCAATGCTATTGTTATTTAGGTCTCATTTCATTGCAAGTGAAAGAAATCCATCTTAAAATGGCTTAGGAAAAAAGGGAATTGTATTGGCTCATGTGAATGGGAAATCCAGGGCTTCTGCTTGCTTTAGATGTGGCCATTTCTAAAACCTGAAATTATGCCATCAGTCTACACTTGCTCCCTCAAAATCTCAGCTCTGATTTCCTTTGAATTGATTTGATTCTCTTTCAGTAATTCCACGTTTATATTTAACCAGAAGAAATAAAGATTCACGTTTCTAACACAGTTATGCATTACATAACAACATTTCAAACAACAATGGACCACATGTACAATGGTGGTCCCGTAAGATTATACAATATTTTACTGCACTTTTTCTATGTTTAGATACACAAATACTTACCATTGTGTTACAATTGCCTACAGTATTTTGTACAGTGACATGCTCTACAGGTTTGTAGCCTAGGAGAAATAGGCTATACTATACAGCCTAGGTGTGTAGTAGGCTATCCCATCTAGGTTTGTGTGAGTACATTCTGTGATATTCATACAAGGATGAAATTGCCTAAGGACACATTTCTCAGAATGTATTCTCAATGAACCCGTTGAGACCTGATGCATGTTATAGTTCCAGTCAAAAACTCATCACTGACAATCGTTTGCCGAACTTGAGCCACATGACCATTCCTAAGCCAATCACTGTGGATAAAGAGGACACAACACAGTGACTGGTCGTGCCTGGCCCAGTGCCCTAACTCACAGCCAAGAACCGGAAATTGCCCAACCTAAAACACACTGAGAACAGGAAGAATATTTTCCCAAGAAAAAATAGTGGTTCTGTTAGCAGAAGAGATACTGGACAAGCAAACAACAAAAGTCCACTTTAAGGACCATGACTATTTGTGCTAACTCTTGTTTCCCCAAAGCCCAGCCCAATGCTTGCCACATAGAGAGAACTCTATTGATATTCGCTAAAAGGATGAATGAGCTCAGAGATTATGTTTATATTCCAATTACTCTATGGGGAAGCCCACTGGAGGCCGAGCTCTTCAAGAGCTTCCATGAGTTCAAGTGTATAGCCCAATTTTAATGACTCCTGGATTTGCCTCATTGGTGAAATAATCCTCTCCTCTCCATAGGGACCCCTCTTCTCCACATTTCATCAGAAGGGAAATATGGCAACTTACATGCTCCCCCAAATTTAAAAATACAAGACAAATTTATCTGAAGCAACAAAATTAGTATTCATTTTTTCTTTAACCCAT